TCGAGCCTTCTGCTGGTCTTCTACCCTGGCTGATGTAAGCACTCATCGCAGGGGGACAAGCTTTCATCTCTCTGCAGGTTCATATTTGCAGAGACAGTGTGGTGTGCATACAGTGGTCGCTTTTCTTTCCTTCTGTTTTGCAAGAGTTTCTAAGGGTTTGGCATCACACCCAGTTGTTTGCATTTTCTGGAGCAATTAGAGCTACTGCACATGTGCCAAAGCAGGTACGGGCTTGCACGGACTCCCAGAGCGTGCAGGAATGTGCTGCTCAGCGACTGGCTGGCAGCTGTTCCATCCAGCTTTTCGTGGAGGTTGCTGTCACATTACAAACGTTCCTGTCACGACCTGTTGTGTACAACGACAGCAAGTCTGTGCACCATGTCTACTGCACAAGCAGAGAGCAAATGCAGTCTGTCCGTGTCAAACGACAACTTAGTCACAAAAACTGAGCTTTTCTAACACATGCTACACACACTGCTACGCACAAAATGCAAGAAAACGTTTCAGCACTTGGGCCAAAAACACAGCGTAACCAGGCTACGGAGGCAAGCAGGACAAACCACCACGCCAGACAAGGGTCATGGATTCAGACTGGATGTAGCTGCGCTCCAGTCACGGTCCAGTTCGTTCTGTTTCAGATCCATTTATAGGGGTTTGCTTTGTCCCGACTTGATCAGAGTTACTTTTAAACACGCTCATCCTCCCAAAGTGACACCAAAATGTTCAACATCTCTCATATCACGTTTGCCTGATACAAACCTTATCTTCATCACAGACTTTGAAGGTGACCTTTTTTATTGACCAGTCTTCCTGTTAACAGTAACTGAGTGAAAGAGCAACCACCCAATCAGTGAAGACCGATGTCAGACCCCAGGAGAAACGCTTACACTGCCGAGCATCAGAGATCTCATGCTAAAAAACGACTAAAACGACGCTTCTTTCAGTATCACAGTCAGCAGTGACAGACGCAGATATTCCTCCAGACTGAATTAAAACTTTAACATTAAAAAGGAGGGCCTGCACTTATCTGCCTGTTGCCATGG